GCCTAGATGGGCATATGACTCCGCCCCCTGTGAGCAAAAGGTGTGAATCAGTGATTCCCACCAACCCCAATGATAGTCAGGTGATGGAGCACATGACCCTCGAACAATAGAGCTAATCAAGCCTATTGTTAGTCGATGACCCTCTTTTGCATGTGGCTAACCTGTTTGTCCATGTGGAGGCGGAGCTTATAAGGCTGAGTTCACCTGAAACTCATCAGACTGAAGAAGTCTCTTGGAGGAGAGACGAAACATTTCACTAACGAAGAACCACCCAGAGGAACTACTGATTTTTTCTTTTTGATTTTTTTCTACCTGGATTACTGAGATGCATCAGGACATTTTTACTATCATTGAACACTTAGGTTACACATGCACACAATAAACAATTTTTATACTGCAAATAAAGCAATCATATTAAAAATCAGGTATTCATGTTAAAATTGTGGTTCCAGTTGCATCCATGGTGCGATCAGATTAAAAACCTCCAAACCAAGCTCTCAGGATGAATTAAACCTCAGCCTCTCTTGACCTTGAGTGAAAAATGTCTGACTTACCTCGTGACATTTTTGACTGAATCATAAAATGATTTTCATAGAATTCAACAGTTACTCCAAACATAACATCTGAAGAAGTTCAATACAGACGTATTCAACCTTTAAATCTAACACAGCTCTATAAAATGGTCATTACTGTTGTTTTCCTTCCCAGCAGCACAAGTTGGCAGCCTTGTATTGTTCTCAGAATGTGTGTTGTGAATGACTCTCAGCTACTAACTGCATTTTAGCTTGTTTGTGAAATTGGCTTGAGTTAAAACATTTGGTGTTACAAATCAAACAGTGCAGATTTAGTTGCAGATCTACACAGTTAGCTTCCTGTGGAGTTCAGGATCCAGTTTAAAATTCTCACAGTCACTCACAGAGCGTTTCATGGCCAGGCTATGTACCCTYACGCACACTTAGATCCAGTAATTCCAGTCAGCTACTCTATCCTCAGTCCTGACTAAAGACACRTGGGGACAGAGCGTTTCAGGTTGTAGCTCCTAAATTAGATTGTGAAGGACTTTCTCAGTCTCACTGACTCTGAACTTGGTGCAGTGGGTAGCTGGTCCCACACGAACGTGGACACGAGGTGGAYCTTGTCCTCTCTTATGGCTTGTCTGTGACTGACCTGGAATTATGTGACAATGGGATTTTGGATCATATGTCTGTTGTGTTTGATATTGATTTTCCTGCAGATAAACCTTGTGCTCCTGCTCAGCGCCGTAGAGTTTTTAACCCTTTTATTGCTGGTCAGTTTTCTGCTGCCTTTGAACAACTCTGTGTACCTTCTGTCTCTGATGAGGAGCAACTAAGCTCCTGGTTTGACACCTCCYGTCAAACCATTCTGGACTCTGTGGCTCCATCAAAAGTGATGCAGTCCAGGGCCAGACCTGAGCCCTGGTTCAATGAAAGAACTCGTGCAGCTAGAAGAGAGTGCCGCAGAGCTGAACGAAGATGGAGAAGAGATAAATTACAGGTGTCATTTCACATTTTAAAAAACTGTCGACATCAATATCAAAACACTGTTAAAAACAGGCCAAGAGAGAGCATTTATCAAACATTATTATTCATCCATCCATCCATCCATCCATCCATCCATCCATCCATCCATAGGACCACAACATCCACAAAAAGCAGAGATGTGATCCTAAGGTCACCAAAACGGATCCCCTCAACACCTCGGCTG